GTTTCGTGGGAAGGGAGAGGTGGGTTTCGGTTGGGATTTTCTCACAGCCTCTTAAGCCCCCAGGCTTGGGTCTTTCTCAGGTATGAGCTGGGTGGGGGCTGCATTAGGGCTGAGCTGGCTGAGGGGGAGGTATGTCTGGCACGAGAAGGGGAGGAAGGGGGTCTGCTCAGGCACCACAACCCACCCCCACTGTTCAGGTCAGGGTCTTTTCCAAGGGAAATGTCCCAAAGAACAGGGGCCAGCCTGGAGTGGGGACTGGCCCTGGCACCCCACAGAGGAGTCAGCAAGACAATCACCAGTGGGGGGACTGGCCCTGGCACCCCACAGAGGAGTCAGCAAGTAGACAATCACCAGGTGGGCTTGCCAGGGAATGCCCAGCTGGGATGGGCCCCGGGCTGCCCTGGTCAGGCACAGGCTTTGGGTTGAGATTCCAGCTGTTCTACTTAAAATAGTTACAACGTATCCAGTAGTCACTACATGCCAAGCCCACTAGGGGTCCATGTGCTTTTACAGCCACACGAGATAGGTTTAGCTGTCCCCATTTTACAGATAAGGAAACTGAGGCCTCTGCGAGGTTAAAGCACTTGTCCAAAGCCAGATGCTCTGCCTGACTCCCCGTGGAAATGCCAGCAAGCCACGTCCCCACCCAGAAGCCTTCATTTCCTTGGCTGTAAAATGGGAATGATGGGTCCAGTGATGGCTGGGGCTGGTGGTTGCGGTGCAGAGGGCAATGTCTCACTGTCTGTGGCCCAAGCCCCATGGGAAAATGGGCTTCTGAAGCTTCTGGGGAAAACAGGTTGCCTTTCTCCACCTTCTCGCGCTGAGTTGCAGAAAAATGAGGCTCTGGATTTTAAGCCCCTTAAGGGACCCTTACTCTCCCTCCCAGGACCTTGACTCTTCAGGCCCCCTTTGGCAACCTAGCGGGAGGTGCATCGTCCACTGGTGGAGACCTGGGCACAAACCCTGGCTCCCCCACGCATTCCCTGTGTCTCTTTGGGACAGTTGTGCCACCTCTTTGAGCATCAGTTTCCCTTTCTGTAAAAGAGAGGTGATGCTTGCCTTCTGGGGTGGTGTGAAGACTAAGGGGTGCTCGCCAGGAACACAGTAGGCTCCATGAACAGGGTCATCATGGGACAGCCGGGCTGGAGACCCCGGCAGGCAGTTTAATCAGCTCCCCCATCTGTCCCCAGGTGTTCATCGGTGTCAACTGCCTCAGCACAGACTTCTCCTCACAGAAGGGGGTGAAGGGTGTCCCCCTGAACCTGCAGATTGACACCTATGACTGTGGCTCAGGCACTGAGCACCTGGTGCACCGCGCCGTCTGCCAGATCAAGATATTCTGTGATAAGGTGACTAGGGCAGTCAGACCCTCTGCTGGTCCTGGGGACTGAGATGCTCCGGCCCCCGCCCTGCATCCTGACCAGCCACTCTGGGAGTGTCTGTCTCTCTCTGTACTTGCTCTCTGGTCTCTGGAAGCCTCTCTCTGTCTCTTTGTGCTTGTTACCTGTCTGTCTTGGTCTCTCCGTGTATATCTTTCTGTTTCTCTGCATCCCTATCTCGTCTTTCTCCTGAATATCACTTTCTAGATCTCTATAAATATCTCTTCATCTCTCTTTTTCAAGTTTCTCTTCTCCTCATCTCCCTCTGACTGCATGTCTTCTGTCTGTCTGTCTGTCTTTAGTGACCTCAGGCTGGGCTGGGCTGGCTGGTACCTTGCCATTTTCCTGGTCTCACTCTGGGAAGAAAGCAGCACAAGAAGCCTGGCCCATATTTAAGAGGCAAAGCAGCCAGCTCCTCCCAAGACCCCGGTGACCCCTTCCCTTTCCCCCTCACAGGGAGCCGAGAGGAAGATGCGGGATGATGAGCGGAAGCAGTTCCGGAGGAAAGTCAAGTGCCCCGACTCCAGCAACAATGGTCAGTGGGCATGGGTCAGGGACTAGACCGGGCTGAGTTGGAGTGAAGGGGAAAAGAGGACCAGAGGGGAGAGGTTGGGGGCATGAATGGAGGGGCCTCAGGTCACAGCGACTCCCTTTTCCCATCAGGCATCAAGGGCTGCCTGCTGTCCGGCTTCAGGGGCAATGAGACCACCTACTTGCGGCCTGAGGCTGACCTGGAGACCCCGCCAGTGCTGTTCATTCCCAACGTGCACTTCTCTGGCCTGCAGCGTCCTGGAGGGGTGAGGGCCTTGGACCAAGCGGGGCTTGCCTTAACACAGACGAGCCGGGAACAACTTGCCACTCGGCCAATCTAGTCCCATTTACATGTTTATAGGTCCTAAATTTTTTTACATCAAAATGAAAATACCTTTATTGAATTTCAGGGAATTTAGAAAAATAAATAAATA